CATCATCTGCCCTTTTCTTAGGTGGAGGAAGATTATCTTCCCTTTTCTTAGCTGGAGGAAGATTATCTTCCCTTTTCCTAGCTGGAGCAGGAGTATCTTGCCTTTTTCTAGCTGGGGCAGAAGTTACGTCATCTTGTCTTTTCCTAGCTGGAGCAGGAGTTTCTTGCCTTTTCCTAGCTGGAGCAGGAGTTTCTTGCCTTTTTCTAGCGACAGTTACGGGACCTAAAATAAACAAATAAATATAAATAAATGAATGTATGAATGAATGAATGATGCACTGACAAACAAAGAAACGGTCGTGTGTACCTTCCTAGACATTACAGGACCATTTGACAACACGCCACACGAAGCTGCCAAAAAATCACTTGCAGACAGAGAAGTAGATAGCACCAGCTTCGGAGAGAAATGCAGATTGCCCTATCTCCATCTGCACAACCAAAAAAAGTACACAATGAGGAGTTCTATCCCGACTAAGGTGCAGCCTAACCGTAGATTAATTTCTATGCAGATTGACTAACCTCGGTACACCCTGTCAGGGTTATGCTGACGACATAGTCATATCTGCTAGCAGCAAGTTTGGTAATATTCTATTTGATATAGTTCAGAGAGGAGTAGAACACACCAGGAGATGCCGTTAGGCAGTATAAACCCCATGAAAACAACAGACAACAGTAGTAGCCTTTTGAGGGAAAAGAAAACTAATAATAATTAAATTGTTGATACCAGGACCAAAGTAACACATTTCTTTTCCCAAAAATATATTGTATCTTTTATTTGTTTAAAACAGTATATTTGTAATTTTATTTAATCTAAATACTACCTAATTTATTTATACCGAAATACTTTAGCACTTATATTCTAATTTTTTATAACAATTCGAATGTCCATCTTCAACTGTGTCTCGATTTTAACTTAACTTCTCCATCAGAGTACAGTCTATTTATACAAAAATTTTGCCCACCGCACTATTCTAGGTATTTAATTGCCAATGTTTCAGTGATTTATTCAATTATGATCATCTGTGAAATGATCAGTAATTCAAACGTCGTTTTCCTCAAACTAAACCTTTATTGTCCAATAAACCACTAAAATATTAAAAATTGACAATATTGGGCATGCAGTCAGCAATTGCAGGCCCTTTAACTGTGTGATGGCAAAGTGACTCTGGGATTTTAAAAACCCTGTAACTGGTATTACTGACCAAATGACTGTGGCGGCCTAGTGACCTATATATGTAGATAAAAGTTTAAAGATCATCATTATAATTAAAGGCAGACAGTTGTTGGGCCATTATTTCCCCAGACGAAAATGTTTGTTAGGAAATAATGTTTTTTGTCCTTATTTTCCATTATAAATCAACACAAAATAATTAAACACAATACACGTCAAAATAAACAATTTTCTTGAACAATACAATAAAATAGTAATATTGGTTGTGTCAAGTTTGCTTGTTGATGGACGAGCCGACGAGCCGCCACTGTTACTATTTTACTGTAGACACAGAATAACCTATCTAACGTCTATTCAGATTTCATTTACGCCGCGTCAAAACAATTTCTCCCATCCAGCAACAGCTCACGTGACATTTTCTTGCGCTTCTATTGGTTAATCGGTCGTTAGTCATTTAGACGGCGCGCAAATATTTTTTGTCAGAGTCGAATTCAGTTCAATTTGGATAATTATAAACGGTGTTTTGGTAGCATTCCCCGTGTTGGTTAGTTTGGACATTTTGTATGTTTGATTGATTATAATTCATTATATTATAGTTTAGATACAGCAGATGAAGTCCAGAAAAATGATTTTACTCCTTCTAAAAAGCGACTGAAAAAGGGACATTTGGTCATCGGTACTAAAGAAATGGTTCTTAATATTTATAAGCATTAAATTTTATAGAATCCTGATATGTTGGTACATGATGTTGAAAGGAGAGTTGCTGATAAAACAGGGATGTGCGCTAAAACCGTTTTTAATGTTATGAAGGAGTATAGGCAGATTCATAAATTTTCTGAACCAAAAAGAAAGCTACGTTATAAACAAATTAGTGGCTCTGTGGATGATTTGAATAAAAATGCAATAAGGCGCAAAGTACATCAATTCTTCTTTAGAAATTAACTTCCAACAATTGATAAGGTTTTATAAGAAGTCAACGATGATCCATATTTGTCTACTTTTAAGCGAGCTACATTTTACAAGCTTTTCAAAACCCCTAATTTTAAATTTAAAACTCGAGGAAAAAATAGTTTGCTTTTAGACAAAAATGAAATTGTTTCGTCAGAGGCCACAAAAAATAAAACGGTACAGAGAAGTAAAGCAAAAAATATATTATCTTGATGAGACTTGGATTAACGCCACACCAAATCAAAAGTATGTTTCGATATGTCGGTTTTTTCATCCAGACAAGCCTTTTTGGATGAACTTTTAACTGGTTTTAAAAACTCATCAGGTATGTGCGTAAAAATAGCTCATTATATGCCATATTGGAAGTGAAGAAGGCTTTGTCTCTAATGCACTTTATGTATTTGAGTTGAAAAATCCGGTGACTAACATGAAGAAATGTGTGGAGAATCGTTCAAAGAGTGGTTTTCAAACACCCTACCAAAATTAGAAGATAACTGCATTATTATTCGAGAAAGCTGGAAAAAATATCTACGACGTCTAAAAAAGGTGATATTTAAAAATGGCTATAAGGGAAAAAAATTGAATTCGACTACCAAATGCTTAAGATCCAACTTCTAAAACTTGGTAAGCAACATTAACATTATGATAGGTATGTAAAAGATGAAATGGCTAAGCAGCAAAACAACATAATACTTTACATGTCTCCGTATCATTGTGAACTTAACCCTATTGAATTAATCTAGGTTGACGTTAAACAATACGTAGCAGATAAAAACTCAACATTTTAATCTGGAGACATTAAAATTCTTTTTGAAGAAGTAATATTATTAATTTCTCCAGAAAAATGGAAAAAGTGTATCGACCATGTTCGCCAAAAAGTTGAAGTAAAAATGTGGGAGTTGGATAATATTATAGAGGTTCAGGTAGAACCACTTGTAATTTTGATTAATGAAGATAGCCTTTCAAGTCTAACTAATTTATCCGATTCAGAATAGTGCTAAGTCAAGTAAGGAAGATTGCTATAATACAGGGTACAAGTTGTCTAATCTAAATACTAGTAGAACAAGAACAATAAAGAACAAAAGTTATCAAAAATACAAAAGGTTTCTTTTTAAGATGCACAATTTTAAATCAAATACCAAAAATTCAAATACCAAATACCTCTTATATTTAAAGTTTTTTTAATGCTTTTACTAGATATATACACGGAAAAAATGTGACTAGAAAATTTTACTACAATGTTGTAGTAGTAGACTTGTAGAAAAATACTTAACTTTTTGTAGAAAATTTTACTACAATTTATAGTTAAAAACTATTTATTATTGTAGCAATTTATTGTCGAATAAAATGCTTCAACAATAGGAAAGAAGACCACAATGTTTAGTATATTTTACTATTGTTTCTAGAAGTAGAAATTTATTTCAATTATCGTAATTACTACTACTAACTTCTGTAAAAATTTGTACAAATATTAATAATTATCTCTACAAAAAATAGTAATTTTCTCTACAAAAAAATAGTAATACTTTACATCCCTTCATATGAAAAAATTCAATTTTGTTTAAAAATATTCTATAATATTGTAGAAATTCTAAGTCATGTGAATAAAAAAGAATTCTGCTATTGGCCAACGTTTTCTGACGTCAACCATAAATGTCCAGACAGCAGTAGCCGTTCGCCATGTTCACAAAACAAAGCATGGTACATATATAACACATTATTATATTATAAGTACCGATGCGTTTAAGAAAATTTTAATAAAAACTTCTATTAGTGGTAAGTACATTTATTATTTTTTCTGAATAATTTACCTTTAGGTAACTAATTTAAATAACCTTAGTAGATTATTTTGTGATCAACGATCGAATGTTGTACCCAACGATCGAATCTAGTGCCAATTTCAATGATATTTTTTTGTTTTAATTGTGACCTACCTACTCTCTCATTTTTGTTAGTTATCTGACCTAGTCATTTAATATCCCAATCAGTGTAAAGGTGATAAATATCCCTGTTTTTATGGTATGAACAGTTCAATACGTATTAATTTTTATTTCATTTTTTTTATTTGTATCTTTGTATCTTTTATATTAAAATAATAAATTTTGAATATTTTATTAAGAAACATTTTTTTTAGGTTATAATTATAATAATGATGGAATACTACTACAAATTTTATTAAAAATTACTAAAATTTGTATGAATTTTTACTATTTATTGTGTAAAATTTTCGTATTAATTTTCATGAAACGCAATACATTTTTAATACAAATTTATACAATGAATAGTAAAAATTATAACAATTTATAGAACTTTAAAATCGTTCATAACAATATTAACGTAGTTTACTCTTGAGCAAAATTCATATTTTTTGACAAACCTCGTATACGGCTTGAAAAATTTGATATCTGATAACTGCCTTTTAAGTTTTGGGTCATGCAGGACTTTTTATCAAGAATAACTTTTTTTCCTAAAATCAATAATAAAAATGTTTTCCATATGGTTCCAACTTAAGTAGACACACTGTATACACACAGATGACCAGACGAAATTGTTTTTTGAATGATCGGAAACATGAAAAAGGTTTTAAAAAATTTTTTGGTCTGCACGAATGCAATACTGAGGCCCCATAGGAAGGGCTTCAGTAATATAATATAATACAAAAATAAAATTTACAACCACCGATTAATGAATAAGCAAAGTTTAAACATTTGAGGTATTTCTTTTGTTTTATGTTAAAAAAAAAATGATTTGAAGGAACAAAGAGATCCAGCTCCTTATGAATCATTCGTATTAAATTTATTATTTGTGGTTTTGGTTTGACAGACTACTAATGGGATAATATATAAAGTAAAAGCTAAATGAATCCTTTTTGAAAAACTTACCATCTGCATTAACTAATTCTGCAAGGGCAATTAAAGCCATTGCTATTAAAATGTATGTCCTCATGTTTGATTTAGAACAATGGCCGCACTAAAATATTTTCCGTAATCTAAGATTCATTTATATACATGATACAGAGTAGGTATGTATATAGGGTAATACCAGTTTTATTAAGAAGTGCTATTATTTGTTAAAAAATTTGTTTAATTTTGTATATTGGTTTTCAAAACAAACAGGGCATTGCGAATAGATTTAAAAAATAAATCAAATGCACAATCACCAATTTCCTTTCCGAAATTAAGAAAAATACATCCCCAAAGTAAAAACAAACTAGGCGTTTACTCCTGCAATATCGCCACGTTTACGGTGGGCCGTACTTGAAATTATTCTAGTACAATCTGGGATTGGCGTTTTTTTATACGATGTTATATTGGTGACTTTAAGGAGAATACGCATGTTTAGTGAAAACGTCACAGGTTGAGAAAGGTCATAACACTGGATGCCAAAAGAAATACCAGACCGTCAACTGTCATTAATATCCATAAGAATAACACAGGGGTCATTAAAATTATTAAAGCATAATTTTGAAAATAAGAGCAACTTAATTATTCCTAGGTGTAAAAGTAAACAAGGTTTTTAGATACTTTATTACTTGGACTGCCAAATATTCGTTTTCTACACAAAAATAAATTCTGTTTTTTACGAGGCCCTTACAAGAGTTTTATGTAAAACTTTTAAGTAATTACTTTTAAAATTTCCAACAATTAAAAAATTAATTAATACAATAACTTTTTCATAGTACAAAAAATTAATATTAACAATATAAAATTCCAGCAACACAAAACGAATTTATAAAAACATTAAATAATTTAAAATTGATTTTCAAAAATTAAACTTAAACAAGGTAGAAATGTAAAGACTAATTAGACTTTTTTTAATGACATTAAAAAACTTAACGCTTTATTGCAATCTAAGGCACTGGTTTACAAGTCAACGACTCAATTATAAATGGTTGAGAAAAGATATTAAACTCATCAACTGCTATATTTCCAAATAAATCACCCACTACGTGAAATCTCCCTCTCTCAGCAATGTTGCGTGCGTCGGCAATTAAACTTTAAATCATTTTAATACCAATTCATTCATTATACAGGAGGGCTCTCATTAAAAAAAAAAACATTTTAAAAAAGTTATTTTTAGAATGTTACGAGTTGTTTTTTTATATCAACCGGTGTTAGCCGATACTCGCCGAATACAAATCTTACAATAAATTAGAGTGTCAGACAATCCTAGAGGATTTGTGCTCAATGGTCTTATCTTCTTGTTTGCACCCTCTACAGAGTGCAGATTCTGAAAGCCCCATGATATAGAGTTGCTTCTATCATGCTCGTCTATATCGATATAGACGGTCATGCTTTTATACTTGGTATTGATTAGTCAGTCTGCCTGTGATCATTTTCTGTCTAGTCATAGTAAGTACTTGTTTGCCTAAAAGCTCCTTGGCAACTCTTCAGCTTCTTGTTTCGTTCTATCTTTCCTTGAATTTCATAATGGAATGTTCTATATTTAGGTTTTTTACTACCAATGTTGTCAGTCCAATGAAAGGATCAGATCCAAAAAGTATATGGTTGGCTGCTTTCATGGCTAGTGAACCAACATGACAATTACGTTTCAATGTGTCCTGACCTCTGATACATCTTAAGGTAACCACATTATTGATAAATACTTTGGCCTAAGCTTTGTGATATTCTAGTACTAACCCTGAGTAAATACGTGGTCTGTCCAGGGTGAGTAGTACTTGTCTGCTATCTGTATAGATGAGCACGTTCCTTCCAGTGATATTGTTTCTGGTAACTTATTTTACTACAATGAGAATCTCCATAGGCTTGGCACTATTGCTCACAGCCAATTTTATGTTTAGGTTTAAAGATCTAGTGTCCATTTCACATCCTTTTTTTTTTCCTTTAACGACGTATATCTTTTCTTCTTTAAATCATATTTGCATCAAAGAAATCAACCAGTGGAGTTACCTAGGGTTCCAATCTAGGTCCTCTGTTATTTTTAGTATTTATCAATGATTTGTGTGATTCATTCGATATAAATAAATTAGTGTTTGCTGACTAAATTGTATACTTGTATTGTATATCCACACTAGATGATTGTGTAGCATTACAAGAGCAGCTAAATTATTTACAAAATTGGTGTCTTAAAAATAATTTTTTCCTTAATATCAATAAATGTAAAGTTATGTAATTTTCTTGCAAGATTGCTAATTTATACTTTCCTTTTTCAATCAATAACTAAAAATATTAGGGAACTGGGCGTTGATTTCGATAGTCAACTAACTTTTAATATGCGAATAAATTAAATAATTAATTCAGTATACCGTGCATAAGGCTTTATTTGCAGAAATTGTAAAAATTTCAGAAACATAACAGCACTAACATCTCTATATTTTAGGTTAGTCATATCAAAATATGAATCATTAATGAATAAAGCTTTTATTTTTAGTACATAGGTACTTTCTATTAAGAAGTTTCTGAAGTTTCTTAAATTTAAAATTTTTAATTTTGATGGAGTCTATACGATTAGAGGTTATGATTACAATAATCTATTAAATCAATTTGATTTTGTTAGCTTAGAAAATCGTAGGAAACAGGGTGTAACTAAATAAGTGTAAAACATTTAAGAGGGTGATACAGCCCCTTAAAGGGGGAACATAAAATTTGTTTAACAATTTTTATTCACAAGCACTAAACAAGTTACAATATTGAAATTAACCTGTCATTTTCTACTACCAAAAAGACACTTAGCCAGTAATTTATTTGGTTTATCCCATGGTTGTAAGGGGTGGAAAACGCAACCCCTAAAATTTAGTTCCAACGTAACTTTTTGTCTTATCATTTGTTTACCATTTAAAATTTTATTTCCAATAGCTTGTTTCATTCTAAACAAAAAATGTTTCCTGAATTTTTTGCCCAAAATAAACGAGTTCGCAGCAAAAAATTATTTTACGAACAACAACAGAGATACATCGTCATAAATGCGAACTGGATTTATTGTTATTTTGTAGTTACTACCTGCATTAAATGATTAAAAAGGGGAATAATCAAAACTAATTTATTAATAACAAAACATACAACATGTAGAAATCATAGTAAATGTTCAATATGTCTACCTTCAGACAATACGCATGCGTCTAGACGTCGGCGCATTGAGCCACGTATTCGCTCAAATAATCCTGGATTTTCTCTAATTACCCCGCACGTATCGATAATGCGGTTTCTTAAGTTCTCTACATCGCGAACAGGAGTACGATAAACCAAATGCTGCAAATGGCCCCAAGTAGAGAAATCGAGAGGATTGAGGGGGCCAATTCTGTGGTCCTCCTCGACCTATCCACTGATTTGTATGTTTCAGTTAAATGCTGACGTGCTACTTGACTAAAATGGGCGGGAGCCCCATCATGCATAAGAAACATATCCCTTCTGACGCCCAAAAGAACTTCCTCCAGCAGTACGGGATGAACTTCTCTTAAAAATTAAACGTATGCCTTACCATTTAATCGAGGAGGTAGAAAATGAGGCCCAATTAAATAATCATAATCACCAATAACTCCGGCCCACACGTTAAGAGAAAAGTGTTCTTGATGGTGAGTTTCGTCAATAGCGTGAGGGTTTTCATCAGCCCATATGTGGTAATTATGAAAATTAATAATCTTGTCCCAAGAAAAACTACATTCGTCTGTGAATTCGATCGTCTTCAGAAAGTCACGATTTCTTTTAATCATTTCCAGCATCCAATTGCAAAATTCAAGACGGTTCGGAAAGTCTCGCGGTAACAGTGCCTGTACTCGTTGCAGATGGTAAGGGTATAAGAGATGTTCCTTTAAAATTCGAAATACCGTCATATGATCAACATTTAGCTGGAAAGCAATCTTTCTAGTACTGGTAGTAGGTTGTTCTTCAATAAAATTAAGTAGTGCTTCCTCAAGCTATGGTGTTCTTACTTCTCGATGGCGACCACAATCGTGCGTTCTTTTGTTGAATGAACCATATTCTCGTAATCGTTGATGAACTCGGGCAAATATTCTATATGAAGGATGCTGCCGTTGAGGATACATTTCAGCATATCTTCTAGAAGCTTCTAACCCATTCCCCTGCGACAGACTGTAAACGTAATGCATATCAACCATTTCTTCATTTGTGTATGCCATTTTAATAACAAGTGACTTATTAAAGTAACAAATTACGAACAGAACAACAATACACAATAAGTTTTACTTTAATTTCAAAAATTTACAAACTGACAGCTTGATTTCAATTTAATTGTCAGTATCGCTAATAGCGGCCTACTAGATAAATTAGTTTCGTATTTTCGTTTTATGGCGATATCTATCTTGTTCGTAAAATTATTTTTTGCTGCGAACTGGTTTATTTTGGGCAAAAAATTTAAGAGACATTTTTTGTTTAGAATGAAACAGGCTATCGGAAATAAATTTTTAAATGGTAAACAAATAATAAGACAAAAAGTTACGTTGGAAGGAAATTTTAGGGGTTGCGTTTTCCACCCCTTACAACCATGGGGTAAACCAAATAAATTACTAGCTAAGTGTCTTTTTGGTAGTAGAAAATGTCAGGTTAATTTCAATATTGTAACTTGTTTAGTGCTTGTGAAAAAAATTGTTAAACAAATTTTATGTACCTCCTTTAAGGGCCTGTATCTTAACAAGGGATGCTCCAATGAAGTTTCTTTATATGAGAGATCCTATCTTTTTTTTGATGAGGTATCACCCCCTTAAATGTTTTACACTTATTTAGTTACACCCTGTATAAGCTTTTTAACTATAAAGTTGATAGTTAGGATTTATTATCTCAGTTTGATATTCATGTTCTTGGGGTAACTTCCAAATATATAAGAGAAGCACCTCTTGGTGACGTTGTCAACTATTAGGCTGGCTCACGAACTAGGAGGTCCTATCATCTCAGCACAATGGGCCTAAAAAGGCCTAATTGCCGTGGGAGTAACCCACCCTCCACACGTTACATATACACAGAAAAGTTTATTTACAGATTGTGATAAGTTTAACATTAAATTATTATTTTTGCTAATAAAACTAATCTTTTTTTGAAACTCTTAAAATTTTGTAGTCTTA